ATAACCTGCACCAGGGTGATTGTGATTTAGCCAGAGAAAGCTGACACATGCCTGAATATAATGTCACCTCTCACACCATATGCTCACATTAGATCCAATTTAGGTGCACAGTCTTGTTGTACAGACCATCATAGGTGGTTCCAACTTGTAGGTGACTAGCGATTTATTGCATAACTATCATGAGAGCGTAGCAATGAGCATAACTATATTACACCCAGTCTTGTTGTACAAACCATTTCAGTGGTTTCGACTCGTGTGTAGTGTAGTGCCGTACAGGTCACTTGTGGTGACTCCGGCTGGATTGATTGATGAGTTATGAATTTAGCCGTACAGACCTCTGCAGAGGTTCTGGCTAATATGTTATTTTCCATGAGCTTATTCTCACTTGAATCACTTATCCTATTTCATATTTGGCATGGCATACTTTTGATTTATGGATATGTGAAGCATGATGTGAAAATATATTGATATATTCTAGTTCTGGAAAAATTATACAGGTTTTACGGCGAGAGGTTAGAACCTTTGAGAAAGAAATGAATTTGAAAAGATTTGTTTTTGCCAACTCACGCTTTCTGTTTTCCTCCCTTCCAGGTTTTAATTGTTAAAAGTTCGTATCGACGAAGATTCTTGGCAAATCTCAGGATATGTGGCTACCTCAGAGGGTATAATCCTTATCCTCTATGCTTTACATACTTATGCTCTAACGTCACGTGTGAGATGAGTTATTTCCCGCTCACCAGTGCACTCTGGTATTTAGGCACTCTTAGGTTTAAATTTATTTCACATCCTTACACTTTATGGCTTCGTCACCTTCCAGGTGTCGGCCAGCACAACTTGATTTGGAGTCCTAATGGACATTCTGGGTCCGGGTGTGTCATTATATTAGGCAATAAATTTATTATTTTCGTAAAATCATTAATTCTCCCGTACAATCTATATGGAACTAATTGTGTACATCAAACATTCAAATAGAGGTGTTTTGGGCATCAAAAATTTTTAAATGTGTAAAGTCAAATATAATTAATGAATTTGTTGATGTGGAATCTAGTTAATGAGTTTTATTTGAGTAAAAAACTTATGATGGGATGTGGAGAAAATTAAATTTCAGGGGCTAAAGTTATATTTTCAATAATTTTTATTTTGTATTTTATTTTTGTTTAATAAATTGTGTCTGCTGCTTGTGAACAGATCTAGATTTTCCCATTTTATATCGATTGTAATTCTACGGAAGAGAGGAGGTCGCTCTATCAAGGGAGCCAAACTCACGAGGCTTCATTTGTCCTCCGCAACAACACTATATGATACATTCTCGAGACTAGTTATTTCAGGAAAATCTGCAGGGAGTTGAAGATATGTTCCCCCCTTGCCTATACTTTAATGTGAAGGGTTGAGAGTATACCTGTAAATGGGTTGGGTTTACTAGGTTTGCATTAGGTTCAACCCGACCCGTTAATTTAACGGGTCACCCGAACCCAACCAGTTTCACCCGTTAACTTTTTTTTTTGGTAACATTTCATTAAAAAAAAAAAGTTTTGCTTCGGCAGGATTGTGGGCTTCGAGAGCCTTGAGGTGGAGAGTGGTGAGCATCTTAACTCTTAAGCCTGTCTCTGAGTCTCTCTCTTTGTTTTTTGTGTTGCTTTGCTCGCAGTGTGGCTGCAACTTCAAGCTTCTCAAAAATCTCTGGCTCCGAGAAAACCAAATCCACCTGTAGAATCTGTCTCATCTTCACCTATGAGCAAGGAAGAAAAAATCGATAATATCGGCGATATTTCACCGATATTATCGTTTTTTTGAAGATTCAATATTTTTTTAACTATCTAAATGATTTTCGTCAAAATATCACGATATTATCAATAATATCAATAATATCACGATATTTTCAAAATTATCGATAATATCGAAATATAATATTAAAAAATACTTAAAAATGTTGAGAAATCTCAACACATACTACACTTGATCATAGCCCAAAGGCCAACCAAGATATGCTTTTCTGAGCTTGGGAATGTGGATTTTAAAGGCCTTCTTGCTTGCTCACGGCCCTCGCATGGGCGATGTGGGACTCGACCAAGGAAGAAAATAGGAATTTCGGCCGGAAATCCACACCCACTTTAAACGGCCATAACTTTGTCAAAACTCAACAAAATCAAGCAAGACAAAAATGAAAGTTGTAGCCCTCGAAGAGACGAAGAGAATGGTACCTCACACGACGTCTGAATCGTCGTGGTTTGGCCAGAACATGCCTCGAAAGTCACTGAGGTCGCCGGAAACTGGGTAAGATTAAAATGAGAAATGAGTATAACTTTTTCAATACTCAACGAAATTGAGTGAAACAAAAAGGAAAGTTGTACTACTCGACGAGACGAAGAGATTGATACCTTGCACTCCAGCCAACTCGCCGTGGTTTGGCCGGAAAACCAGTGTCAAATTCGGCACATTATTCTTTATCATTTATTCACTTCCCTTTTTTTTTTTTAATATCCTAAATAAAACCTCCCAATATTGTACTAATTAATTATATATAAATGATTATGGTGTGTTTAAATTTCTTTAATTAATTACTACATATTTTCTACACTCACAATGTTTGCCAGCTCACTATATAATCAACTTAAATCAGTTAAATCCATCATGCAATGCATTTCCTTCCAATTTTTTGTGATAAACTAATAGATAATTGACTAAATAAACATCCTGCAAAGTTTCATTAAAAATTTCCAAGTTTTTCTTACAATTTCCATGGTTTCCATGTAATTTTTATCGATATTGATATTATCCCGATATTTCCATCGATATTTCTGTGTTTTCGGACTACCGATATTTCCGATATTTTCTTCCTTGCCTATGAGAATATTGAATCCTGATAAAATTACATCAGTACGCAGGGACCTCATGGGAAAGGATGAATAACAAAATGTTGGTCATTTGCCATAGGTAGCCTAAGAAGGTGCTCAGATGGTGAAGATGACGGTGGGAGTGATCGATCTGCAACAGCGAGGAAGGACAAAGTCTCCACTGTGGCTTATCATGGGGCCCGTGAGTCTTTTGTGCTTGATTTCGAGGACAGAGAGAATGGAAAGCATTATCACTCTAATGGGTCGCACCCAAGAAAGTCCATAATAATGGGTGAAACGGGTGGTTAACAGGTTTCGCGGGTTCATCCAAAATGACCCGTTATTTAACAGGTGATTAACGGGTTGACCCGTTAACCACTCGACCCGTTTATCATTCACCCGAAAACTAATTTTAACGGGTCGGGGTGAAAATGCCAGGTCTAGTTGAGAATGCATAATTGATGAAAAATATCATTAAATCGATCGAAATGCTTCTGTCATTCACATTGCTTTTGCATTCAAATATAGCATGATGAGGGAGAGTGCAATGGTGCATGTAGGCTTCTAAATAAAGGGAAACACAATTGCGTGGAACAGGAGCACGACTGGAAGACATCCTGAAAGCTTCTAGGGTTTCACCCTAATGATATTCCAAGAATATTTTGTTCATCCGATCAACCAATCTGTAGTTCTTTGAATCAAAGTTGAGATCTAGACAACTAAACATGTTTCCACAAATTTATCCATCTCTTAGAGAAGAAACAAGTCTTTGCTGATTCCTCAACATTCAATTGAGAAATAATGGCAATTAGAATTCATCAGGTAGCTCACTGATCCGAACCTCCTCCGTGGCAGTTTTACGCTCTTCTTATTTGCAGGAGTAATGCTTGGGAACTAAAAGACATGAAAGTTGATGATTTATTTATTACTTAGTATTGATAAACGTGCTTATTCCTGCTTGTGACACATCATTTAATTTGTAAAATTTGTCTCCAAATTTAGTCTCTTTAGAATTACCCTATTGCAATTTTCTTTTCAAAACCCTAACAAAGAAAGCAAATCGTTTTGTTTTTATAGACAAAATTTACAAACTAAACTAAATGATGAGTCACCAATAAAAATGAACACGTTTATCAAGTATCATCAACTTCCTCATCTACAAATTTATTTCCCTAACATTATCTTTCATTTGATTGGGCTTATAGGGTTCGCTAAAGGGCTCTACATGCGTCGGAGATGGACTTGGTCAATGTCTACACTTTGGAAAAGGGATCCTTTCCGGATCCCTTTCACCAAATTTACCAAATCAATCAATCTGGATCCTTGAAATTTGATTCAACAGCTACAAACATAAGGTCTTTTTAAAAATTATAATAACTTTAACCGTTTGATCAATTTTAAGGACCCGAATTAGGTGATTAAGTGGATTTGATGGAAGGGATCATGAGAGGATCCCTTTCCTATACTTTGGATCTTGTAATTTGATCGTCGTGATTTAAACCTTGTTTTTTTACTCATTCGTTTAATGATCATTTCACCATTAATTAATAGAAATTTAAAAACAAAAAACAAAATTATTATCAAATGACCCTAATTATTATAATGTTTTTTCGTTTTTGAAACGTAGACAATCGGTTTCAACACTCAACAAAAAATTAAACTAAAAACTAAAAACTAAACATTGAGGTCAAACTACCACTTTGTACTACAGTGGTATTCATCTTCACTTGGAAGTAAAAGGTTATATGTTCGAATCTCATGGATGGTGAATTTGATACCAAATTAAGCTGCTTATTGTATGGCTTAGCCGAACTCCCTCTCAGTCAAACTTTGAAAACTAAGGAGCCTTTTCATCATCATTTTGATTTCCATTCTTAGTTTTTCTTATGGAACTAAGTAGTTATCAAATAAGTTTTTAAACTCAAATTTATTTTCTAAGCTGAAAACAAAATAGTTATCAAACGACTACTAAAATTTAAAACTAAAAACGGTTTTTATTCTTTAAAAATTAAAAATTAAAAGTGGTTATCAACAAGTTTTTAATAAAAAAAAAGTGAAAATTGGAAAAAATACTAAAAAAATAAATATGAAAAATAGGACGCGCAATGAGAGGTGAATTAATATATACGAAGTTAATTAACTTTTTTGGTTAATTAACGTTGGATGCTCTGTTCTTTTGTCAGATAACCAATTCGTGCATCGGCTCCATCACAATCAATTTGCAATTGGCTTTGGAAGTAAAAGCACTGTGCTCTCCAGCTCCCTCCCCCCCCCTCCTCTCTCTCTCTCTCTCTCTCATCATCGCCGCGAGCTGAGGTTTTGGAGCCATCGGACGGAGGAGAATGGAGAACGCCGACGTGTTCTTAGGACTGCACGACTTTCTGGAACGCATGCGTCAACCGTCGGCCGCTGATTTCGTCAAGTCCATAAAAAGGTGAAACGAATTTTTAAGATTCCGATCGTTCATTTCATTGCTTGTTGATGTGGTGATGATCTCTAATTACAGTAGTTGAGAATTGAGTGTTAACAAAGATGTGTTGTGTTTGTTTTGCATTGAATTGGATTGGATTGGACTGGATTGCAGTTTCATAGTGTCGTTTACGAACAATGCTCCTGATCCTGAGGGGGACAGCGCTGCAGTGCAGGACTTCTTTGCCCGGATGGAAATTGATTTCAGGGCTCATCCACTTTGGGCGGGCTGTTCAGAGGAGGAGCTCGACAGTGCCGGCGAAGTCAGTTTCAACTTTGAGCTTGAATTTGACGTTGAATTTTACACCCTTGTTCGATTTTACGAATCCAACTATTTGCATTGTAGTTTTGCTTGCTATAAAGTGTTTTGGCTAACAATTTGTGTTAATATATGTATGATTTGTTGATGTTGTTGGTACTTTTTCGTTTGTGGGTTTTTGTTAAATGCAGGGACTGGAGAAGTATGTTATGACGAAGTTGTTTCCTCGCGTATTTGCTTCGCTTCCAGATGATGTAAAACTTGATGAGCAACTGTATGAGAAGATGGCTTTAGTACAACAGTTTATTCGGCCGGAAAATTTGGATATCAAGCCCACCTTTCAAAATGAGACTTCATGGCTGGTGAGTAGAGGACTACCCATATGAAATATGTATAAATGAAGCGTCCTTGTATGCTCATGGCAGTAATATATATTACACATATCAAACAGTGGTAATTTGTTTGAGGTCACAAAATATTTCAACATTAGGATTGAGTTGATCAACATTTTGTGTTTTAAAGATAGCTCAATGAAGAGAAATTTTAGCAAATGGTATTAACCTTAGTTGGAGAGGAAAATTCTCTATTCCAATCTATACTAGAAAATAAATAGACGATTGACCTCTGCCGAAATATGAAATTGTTTGTTGACATAAACCAAATTTCCTATATATGCACGAATGAAGTACATTATATAAAGATATGGTCATGGATCTTAATCGAGATGTATTGATTTGCATATGAGCCGTCTATATTTGTTATAGGTCCTTGTTCAAGGGCCTTCTTGGAGAAAACCTTGACAGGTATTAAAAAAGAAATAGTCATGATGATCGGAGGTTTTCCAACATAGGCAGTAGTGTTTATAGCTCAGACAAATACCTAGTTGAAAGAATCATAAAATAGAGATCACTTCCCCCTTTACAGTTCTTCCAAGGTGCACACTCACTGTCTCTTCATGTGCGGGGTAATTAATGTGTCTCAGTCTCTCTAATTTGTAATTCAACTTTGTTTTTCTTAGGGCCCGTTTGATTACCATGTCATTTTTTCTGCTAGAGATATAGGGAAAGTATACGTGAGAAATTGGAATGGAGAAGGATGTAGGGAGGTGGTGGGAGGGAGGACGGAGAAACAAAGGAGATAGTATGAAAACAATAACTTCAATCTGAAATCAACTTAAAACTGTCTCCCAGTTTTTTGTTTTAGTTTTCATTTTGTGTGTTAATCCATACACATTTTTTCTACCACCCTTCCTTCACCCTTCTTCATTCCTCGTTTCTCTGGCATTCTTTTCCTCTATATATAGCACAGAAAATGAAAAATAAAACTGAAACGAAATGGTTATCAAACAGCCCTTAGGTTTTTATTATTTTCCTGAGAATGCGCATGGGGCATTGTTCAATCATAATTTATAGTTTCCGACTTCTGTCTATTTCGACTTAATTATTTGTTCGATACCTCTCAAAAATCCTTACCCTGGCTTTTTTTTTTTTTTTTTTTTTTTTTTTTAAATTTTAATTTTATCTTCGCAGCTTGCACAAAAAGAACTGCAAAAGATCAATATGTATAAGGCACCGAGGGATAAGCTTGTGTGTATCCTCAATTGTTGCAAGGTTATCAATAACTTGCTGATGAATGCTTCTGTTGCTTCCAATGAGAATCCCCCTGGAGCTGATGAATTTCTTCCAGTCCTAATTTATGTTACTTTAAAGGTATGACTAACTTTTATCATGGCTTGAATTATTTGATTAAACATTTACCTTTGATGCAATACCTATGATGTTTGATTTTAAGTAAATTATTGAATTATTGTCTCCCCTAGAGGTGGGTTGTGCTCCTCAGTTAAAGAAGGCAACATAGTATGTCAGGTTTACAAAGTTGCTTTATTTTATTGATGCGATGCAGGCAAACCCTCCACAACTGCACTCAAATTTATTGTATATACAAAGATACAGGCGACAATCTCGATTAGTTGGTGAAGCATCCTATTTTTTCACAAATATGCTCTCTGTTGAGTCCTTCATCTCAAATATAGATGCTATTTCACTGGATGAATCTGAGTACGACAAGAACATGGAAACTGCTCGAGCACTTCTTTCAGGACTTTCAACTGATTTGGATGGTCAGTATACTCAAAGCAGTCCATTTGCAGGATATGTACATAGATCAGAATCTATGGAAACCAGACATCAACCTCCAAATGCCAACAAGGACCCAGCAGCACAGTCCAAATCTTCAGAAACAAAATCCCGAGGGAAGAAGATACCCAATGCAAAGGATAACTCACCCTATTCAAAAATTCCATCTCTTTCAGATTTGGAGAATAAGGGTGCAGCTGTCCTTGTAAACAACGATCAGGCGGGCCAGGTTTTCCAGGAATATCCATACTTGTTTGTGAATGTTGGGGACCTAACCATCAATGATGTAGAGGACCTTCTTAATAATTACAAGCAACTTGCATTCAAATATGTTTGTCTTTCCAAAGGGTTAGGCGTTACTGCTCCATCTCTTCCTTACAATTTGCATACAGAGTTCCACCAGCATACTGAAACGGCAAAGCAACAGGAACGCTCTAGAGCTGTAGAGCAGAATGATGAGACGTCAGATGACACTGATAAGAAGGATGATGGATTAAAGGAGCCCTTTATTGATGTCGAAAACTTGGAATCTAGATTGTCACAGGATCGAGCCGCTGCACCACAGAGTGGTTCACATGAGGAGTCCTCTCAGTAGCAGCTGTACCAGCACATGTATTTTGCTGGAGTATGTTGAATTTCCAATGCAATCGCCACCATCAGGGATCCATTTCTCCTTTTTCCTATTGCAGATGGAATATCGTCTTGGTTGGCAATGAGCTCTATCATTGTCCATTCTCACCACATAATTGTCAATATTCTAGGTAGAAACGAGGGGCTACAAATTTGTTTGGGAATGCATCAAATTGCATTTATATGAAGATGGAAAAATGTACAACTCTCAGCAGACCCAGGTGCAACAGTGTATGCTTGGAGGCACTCGTAATCTCACACACGTAGCAGTAGAATGATCCTGGGCCACAGGCATGCTGGAGACAATCAAATGTGATTTTCACCGTAGTTGCACCATTCTATCCCTCATTAACGAGCATAAATGTATGTTCTAACTTTGAAATTCCTTTCCTCTTTTCTTTTATCTGTAATGCCACATTCGTCTGCACAAAGTTCTCTTGATGTTACTGCGATTGTATGTGGTTTCTTCATTTTTGCATTCAACTGCTATCGTCGTTCTAGTTTGGCTGCACCAGGAGTTTAGTGTATGATGTATCTAGCTATGGCTTGATATTGTAGTTCATTCACACTTCACAGTGGTAAAAATTAATTTCGAGTGAGACTTTCATGTGCTCAACACTGGTGAAAAATGTTAATCATGTAGCAAAAGTACTCGGTATTCTGAGTCGATAGAAGTTGAATTCTCCATGTCCGACGTTGCTATCATCCCTGGTTGGCATGCTATGCTATTGTATGATTGTTTGACATTTTCATAAGAGCAGTGCTATTTATCAGTTGGTTTGCAGGATGACTTGATGCATGTGGGGCCAACCACACGTCGAACAGCTAGGAGCTGGCGTGCGCATAGGCGATTGATCGTAGCAAATGTAATCAATACTCTGAATCGAAAATGAAGTTTGAATTAGGGTGTACGCAATCATCTCTGGATGGGATGCTATGCTATGCTGTAGGTTTGACATTTTCATAATTGCATTGCTATGTCACTTGGTAGCGGGGATGACTCTACTCTCTTCTTTCCCCACCTGCCCTCCGGCCCCCTATTGAAACCAAACCAACAGCAATTAGGAAGTTGAGAACATGGATTGGATTTTCTGAGGTAAGATGTAATCTAGTCATATTTTTCACGTGCTGGTTTTCGCCAATAAAAGGCCCTACATATTGACTTATTACCACAAGATAATTCAAGGAAATAAACCATTGGCAAAAAGGTATATTACTATATATGCCTGAAACAACATTATATATGTAAAATTAAAATCCCTACCGTCGAGTTTTTCTAAAAAAAATAAAATTATATAAGGGTCTCAGTATTACTTGAAGTGAAAGTTATGATATTTGAACTTTTTTTTTTTTCAAAGATACGACCGAGTGAGATATTTCAACAATATATATATATATATATATAGGAATTGCTTAAGGGGAGGGATCCCCATTTTTTCAAAAAAATGGAGACACGCTCCCCACCGTTGGATTTGAATTAAATGAAATCCTGTGGTTGAGATTCTATGGCCTGTGTTTAATCTCAACCACACAATTTCATTAAAGTCAATCTAACGGTGGGGAGCGTGTCCCCATTTTTTTTGAAAAAATGGGGATCCCTCCCCTTAAGCTCCCTGATATATATATATATATATATATATATATATATATATATATGTTTACTTTTTGATATGCATTTTGTGTCACCTTAATGCACTGTTTTGTGTCAATTTAAATCATAGACAACAATTGTTAATAGAAATAAACAAAGAAAAGGTAAAAGTTTTGGAACTTATTGTATTGTGTGATTCCTTGTTACTTTCATTTTGTAAATTGTCCGATGACCTTCGTGTCATGCCTCCAATTCAATAATACAGATCATAAGATATGGTACTTTGATGTCGATGTTTCTAAAGAACAAATTAGTTTATATAACTTAAGTTAGTGAAACCAGGAAAACCAACAAACACAAACGAATCAAAAGCTTCCAAACCCTACTGAATATTGATCGGTTAGTTCCTTCTTTCAGAGAAAATGACTTATATGTAACTGTATAGTCATATTCTAATAAAATAAAAATATGTGTAAATTTTTTTCTTTGATTTCACTGGCACTACAATCATGCAACGCCACGTAATATTGTATTCATGTCACATAAATTATTCTCCTTCCATGGAGGTGGATTTCGGGGTCCAGATTTGATCATCTCATGCATTTTGACCTGTCTGATTTCAGAATAGCCCGGCAGGCCGGCCAAGGGCCAACTCGAAGCAGATCACCTCCCTTCTTGTGCTTCACACCCCCACTACATAAAATATTACATAATATTTTGAGACAGCCTTCAATTATACTGAATTTTTCAAACTGGGGGTCTAAGATCTTTATATTATAAAGATTCACGACACATAGATTTGAATTATATATATAATTTATTTTAATACATTTACCTTGCTGAATTTGGAGTTTTTTGTTGGAACGTTGATATATAACTAAAGGAATGTTTAGAATACATTTTTTACAGGTTAGTGAAATTTTTATGCTCAAAATCCTGATTCAAGTAGTCATTTATTTGGTACCTCCCAAGGAGCAGGAATATATTATATGTATATGTATGTATATATGTGTATTTGCCCATTAACCTTTTTCTTGTTCTTTATATGTGGATGTATGCAATATACGTTTGTATTTCTTTGTCTTCTACACATTCCTACGGCCTTTTACCTTCTACAACACGTGCTAATGAGGGGTCCTTGCTATGTGGCCCTTATAATATAAATCGTGCATGGTCCAGCTTGTTTCTTCCTTAATTTCACTTCATAGTTCATATTTTTTCGACTAAAAAAAGTGCATATGTTTGTGTACAGATATCACATTACCATTGTTGATTTTGTCCTTAAAAAACATATTTAATGGGAGAGGAGAGTTGCATTTTGATGGGTTTCTCATATTTATAGTAAGAGTTTGATTTTCGCTTTCATCTCTTTCGTAAGATTCAAAAAAAATTTAACATGTAAATCATATTTAATGGGAGAGAAGAGTTGCATATTGATGGGAGAGGAGTTATATTGATGGATTTCTCGTATTTTATACTCAACTAAGAAAGAAGGATTCGAACTTGATAATTTTAACATGTAATATATGAATATGCAACATTATTAAGTCCTTAATCAACCGAACAAAATTCTTAGTTGAAAAAAGAAAATCAATATAGATTTTATTAAAGCAATGTCAATGGTGATTGGTGATAGATAAACATGATTGATAATTGATGGGATGAACCCCTTTTACAAGTGATAAGGTCCCACTCCTATACACTCGTACACACCACACATAAAAATGTCATGCATCTTAGGCTAAAGTGTCAACCAAGGGAGCTTGCTTGTTAAGATATGGTAGAATTAGTGTACCAAATGCACCTTTCATGTGCCTCCCACGTTCTGTGGTGCATGGTTTGTCTGATGAGATGTATGCATCTCCAGACTCCAGCTTCAAGTTCAATTTTTTCCTGCACCTGATTTGTATGTCCCTCAATTTTAAATCTAAAATGTTCATCCAACCCAAACTCTCATACAGCAATACAAAATGGAAAATTAAGAACAACTGTATCATTGAGTGATATGAATGATGTGGCTATGATTGAAAATAGAAAATCTAATAGTTCGGATATCAAATCTAACAGCTGAAACACCTGTAACATTGAGTGCTACGTAGCATTGAATGCACAATCATTTACTCTTATATTGCTACAACTATTGAAATGTTTTAGGATTCATAAGTTTTCAATTCTGTTGTAAGTTGTAATTAAATGATTAAATGAGCTCATCTGTTAGGAGATCTAGATTTAGCCATGATGGCTAGAGCATATTGGTCCATTCTACATCAAAGTTAAGATTCTCCTTGTCCACCATTTAGATGAATTTAGTGTAAATTGTCATATCGTTTATCATACCAGTTAGATGGGTTTATGTTATGAAAATTAGGTTACGTGCGTTTGACATTAATATGTAGTCGATTGAATATGTCTTTTTTTAGTTTAACTCTTTAAAGTAGAGCTTTTGTTGTTTTACAGCATCGCTTGGAGATAGCCCTAAGTGAGCTTACTCTATGATATAGATGCTCGTGATGCTGGCGCGATTCATGTTAAACAATAATCAATTTTAAATATCAAATGTAAAAACCACATTTACATTTTTTTTAAAATTTTTGAGAGATGTAAACATGAGTTTTAACTTTTACCCTAATGGGAGAGAAGTAAATTTGATATCTTATTTTAAGATATCATTTCATTTTCTCTCTTTAACTAGTGGAGATCACTTCTAAAGATATAACAATTTTATTTGCATTTATCTGGCTAAGATGAGCATTTTACATCTCATCTATAAAAATCTTTACAACCAATATAAAAAGATAAAATACTCACTTCAAAACATTTTGCATCTCCCGCTCTAATAAGAGTTCCATTGTTTTAGTCGAATGCAAAGGATCTAAGCTCACTCTATACCAGTAGGGTTTCATGACCTCGTAAAACAATAATTAAAGTATCATGTTATCCACACATTTAGTTTTACTTCTTATATACCTTTCTTAATTTCTGGTCATCGAATTGAATAAATTGAAGAAAATTAATAACTAAAAGTTAACAAAGATATGTAATCGGTAAAAATAAATGCGTACTCAGCACTATCCTAATTAAAAAGATATATAAATGCTCTATTATTTGACAATTGACTTCAAACTACATATATCATTTGAAAAGGTAAAAATTGCTTGGTATAAAGAAAGCAGCACATCACAGTTTAATAATCTGGTTTCAACATAAAAAGAAGAAAACTAGAAATTAAAAGCCATTAAACTATATTTAAAGTTTGATCTTCCAAATGCAAATGTGGTCAAATATGCATACCTTTAGAGACATAGGATTAATACTAGCTTAATAGCAAGTTCGTGGAAGATGATTATGTAAAGTGAAAGTCATATAATTTTTTATTTTTGGATAAATACGAGAGTGTGGCAGCTAATGAAGTATGAAATGCATGCTTTTACAGTTTATAACACCAAAGAGGACGCGGATTAACTGGTTAATCCCCTTCAGGGTAAACGTGGTTCCACCTAATATGGGGCCAATAAGATGTGCTCGATATTTTTTGCTGCGATTAGTTTGACCTTTGACTGCTTCAATTATGTCCTAATTCAAGGATTTGGATCTTATCGGATCCTCTTTGTGAGAGAATCTCTATCCATTCATATACATTTGTGCGGTAAAAAAATATTTTGAATTTTTTTATTTAAAATTAAACATAAACAGTACTTATCGAAAACTAACCGCACAATATGTCACAGCCCGTCCCGAAATTTATTTATTGTGGATGTGAAATGACGGAATTGCCCTTAAAGGCTATTAAGGTACATGTGACATGTTATTCGAATAAATGTATACTCTCCTAAGTTCTTGGAAAATTTAATTAAGTAGATTAAATGGTATACAAATTGTGTGGTTATGGACCTAAAGGAATTGGATTGTGATTGTTTTGGGTGGACCACACACACACGGGACAAGCCCTCTCTCCTACCCGTGCCCTCTCTCTCTCCTCCCTCACAGTTCTCTTCCTCTCTCCCTCTTGAACTTGTACGGACGAACACCAAATCCCTCAAAACATCACGGATCGACGTCAAAAAGGTGAGTTCCTTCATCCTTGCAAGCTTGTGAGTTCATTGGTACCATTTTTGGAACTTAGAACCTTTGAAAACTCCTGAAACCCGAACCCCTAGTTTTGAGTACTATTCATGTGGACGTGAAATGTTGATTTTCAGGGATTCTAAGCTTACAGGGAGCTTAGTGAGGTCCCAAGGAAGCTCGGAGTACTTAGTTTGAAGGTTTTGGACGTCGGGATCGTAAGGTTCGAAGTTGGCCGGTTTTCTTGGATTTTCTTCGGTGAGATTTCGTATGTTTTTGAGCCTTAAAGTAGTATAATGTGATTCTACATGCTTAGGGCTTCATTTTGATGTAAATTTTGTAAAAAATGGTGAAGAATCGACGGAGAAAATGGAGTTTGAAAAATATTCAGTTTTCCGGCGCTGGCGAAACTAGTCCGGCGACTGGAGGAAGAAGATGACGCGTGTGGGGGACGTGCCGTGTTGGAAATTT